CCCCCGCGCCACTGGGCCGCTCCCAGGAGAGTTTTTATTATTTTGGTCTTGCCCGGGCCGAGCCCGGCCGCGGCGGGTAGCTCAGCGGGGCTCGCGCCTGGCGCTCCGCTGCTGCCGCCCAGCTGCGCCGGGGCGCCCTCCGGAGATGCTGCCGTGGAAGAAACACAAGTTCGAGCTGCTGGCCGAGGCGCCGCCGCGGCAGGCGTCCAAACCCAAGGGCTACGCTGTGAACCTGCACTACTCGGCGCTCAGCTCGCTGGCTCGGGCGTGCCCCGAAGGGGCGCTCAGCCGGGTGGGCAGCATGTTCCGCTCCAAGCGCAAAAAGCTGCACATCACCAGCGAGGACCCCACTTACACAGTGCTCTATCTGGGTAATGCCACCACCATCCAGGCGCGCGGCGACGGCTGCACCGACCTAGCCGTGGGAAAGATCTGGAGCAAGAGCGAGGCGGGCCGTCAAGGCACCAAGATGAAACTGACAGTGAGTGCGCAGGGTATCCGCATGGTGCACGCCGAGGAGCGCGCGCTGCGCCGCCCCGGCCACCTATACCTGCTGCACCGCGTCACCTACTGCGTGGCAGACGCGCGACTGCCCAAAGTCTTCGCCTGGGTGTACCGGCACGAGCTGAAGCACAAGGCGGTAATGCTCCGCTGTCACGCGGTGCTGGTGTCCAAGCCCGAGAAGGCGCAGGCCATGGCCCTGCTGCTGTACCAGACGTCGGCCAACGCTCTGGCGGAATTTAAACGTCTCAAGCGGCGAGACGACGCGCGTCACCAGCAGCAGGAGCTGGTGGGCGCGCACACCATCCCGCTAGTGCCGCTACGCAAGCTGCTCCTGCACGGACCCTGCTGCTACAAGCCACCGGTGGAGCGCAGCCGCAGCGCGCCTAAGCTCGGCTCCATCACCGAGGACCTGCTCGGCGAACAGCAGGAGCAAGAGCTTCAGGAGGAAGAAGAGGAGCACCCCCAGAGCTGCCTGGAGGAGGAGGACCGTACGGGGCAGGGGGATCCAACAGAGGAGGAGACCGAGGCGCAGCGGGCGCTGGTAGTGGCCATGCACCTAGAATGCGGCGATTTGCTGGACACTCTGGAGAATGGCCGCGAGGAGGCGCTGGGGGGCGGCGGGGTCTCGCTGGGCCCCGGGGCCGGACCACTGCCTCTGTTGCTGGGTAGCGCCTCCGACATGAAGGCCGAGCTGTCGCAGCTTATTAGCGACCTGGGTGAGCTCAGTTTCGGCAACGACGTGCGCACCCTGCAGTCCGACTTGCGGGTGACGCGCCTGCTTTCGGGCGACAGCACCAGCAGCGAGAGCTCCATCGAGGGCGGGGGCGCAGATGCCACCTCTGCCACCGCCGGGGACCAGTCTGGTCTCACTGACGGCGGCAGCTCGGACGAGCCCCACTCGGGCTGAGCTCCAGACTCTTTGGTGCTCCCCACCCGTGGTCCCGACGACCTCCCTATCCCCCGGCCGCCCCCAGGAAAGGAGAAATGGGGTGCTGGGGGCACAGGTCCGGAGTTCCTTCTGGACGCTCCTCCCGCCCCCCGCGGCCCCGCCACTTTTGGCTGTGTTTGAGGCGGGCACAGGTTGCGGGTGGGGCCGTGCGGAGATGTGAGAGGGGAAAACCCCGCAAGGAAGGAGAGGGGCAGCCAGGCTGGCGTTCGCGGAGTCACCGGCCTGAGGTGTTGCCGGCCAGCTTCCTGTTTGTGGGGCGCTGGGGCCTGAGGAGGAGGGGTTGACTTCCTCCCCTCAGCCCCCTGGAACGGCCCTGCACTGTCATAGACATGTCCTTTAAAGAAAAAGAAGTTTTGCTTTCACAATGTTTGAGGCTTTAATGTCATCCATTCGCCCCCAGTTCTTTTTGGTGTGAGAGCTTGGGCGCTTGGGCTGTTTACCTCAGACTCAGACCCTTGAAATTCTGCCAAATTCCTCAAATAACTGTGTGTGTGTGGGGGGGGGGGAGATGAAAGAAAGATGCATTTTGTTTACAGTTAAAGACATCTAATACCTAAAAAAGGAGTTTTCCTTTAGAAACACACACCTTCCTCCTGCTCAGATATCACTCCATGATACTGTGTAAAATAATTTTGCACTGTTGTGAAGTATTTTGGACATCTTTTGTTTTTGTACATAACTGTTCTCAGAGCTGAATGTTTATATCTTTTGCTGTGCAAAAGAAACATGTAAAATGTTGTTCAGTTGTATATACAGAAATGTATATAAAGCATTTTGTTATTTTTTAAGAGGAGCACTGTTCTGGTTCTGTTTGCACGTTAGTGGGGAGAGAATAAAGCGGAAAATGTAACAGAACAGGTGAGCATCTGGAACCTCTGTGGTAGGGTGGGAGGAGGATGTGTCCCATCCTGTGGCAGTGTAGTGGGACAGTCTTTGGCTTTTGTGATGCTTGGAGAGGATTAGGGAAGGGCAATCCACTTTATGCAGTCAGGGTCCGTTCTGGACCTTCGCAACTCTGGGTACTGTGTCTGGGGCCAGTGTTTTCAAGCATATCCTATATTCTTCATTATGAAGTCGTGCAAGTGTAGACTTTTTCTGGTCTTTTCTGAGTTAATTTTTGGAAGTAATTTCCATTTCCCACTCTTCCCTCTGAGGTTATTTATGGCGGAGTGACTTTCCAGGTCTGCTGAGGTTCCACCACCTCTCTCTTGGGTCACTCTAATGATCAAGTATAAGGATACTGCATAATCTTTTTCTTCACAAACAGCTGAAGGAGTTGAGCTAGAGACCTAAAGAAAGGAGTGGGACCATTCCATCTCTGTTTTTCCTGGGAGGAAAACCAAGGAGAGAGAAAGTTGATAAGTTCCCATCACAGCGTGAATGAGTCATGGTGCAGGTGGGGCGGGTGGGTCAGCAGGTTGCAGAGCCCATTTCCTTCCCTTCTACAACCCAGCATGACCCAGTGGGGAAATGGTGTAGAGGTCAAGGCAGAGAGGAGCTGTTAGAACTTAATCTGGGTGTGTATGTTTTAGGGTTTTCATGCTTTCTGTGTGTTTGTTTCTGTTGTAAACTCCAAACAGATGTCTCTAGTTTGCTACCCCCGATCAGCTGGAATTTGTAATAAGATGCTGCCAAAACTGTGCCTTCTGCAAGTTGTTTTTTCCCCTCTGCCCCTTTTGGCCTCTTTTCTTGTGTTGCACAAATGTATCTCACTCCCAGCCTTCCCTGGTGTCCTGAGGCCACTTTGCTTTGTTTTCATCATAAATATGCTCTGAGCAGCTAGACCCAGAGATCCTAAGGCATCTGGAATTCACTGGAACCACAGAGGAAGGGAGGATGAAAGATTTTCTTTCTAATTAGCAGGAGAGATCCAGGCATAAGGCTATCTTTAAAAAAGAAAAGCAAAGGGGGTGAGTGGGAAGTACTTTTAAAATACTCAGTCTCTTCGTAAGGGCATTAGGACAAGGTCCAGGCCTTTGAATCTATTATATTTTGGTTTGGTTGAGAGTCCCTCTCCCTGAATACCTCAGATACATATGACTGAATGACATTTTAAAAACCCCAGGTAGGGCCGGCCTGTGGCTCACTCGGGAGAGTGTGGTGCTGATAACACCAAGGCCACGGGTTCGGATCCCATATAGGGATGGCCGGTTCGCTCACTGGGTGAGCGTGGTGCTGACAACACCAAGTCAAGGGTTAAGATCCCCTTACCGGTCATCTTTTAAAAAAAATAAAATAAATAAATAAATAAAAACCCCAGGTAGAGAGAACAGGAAAGTCAAATCTCAGCCTACCTATACGCCCACATTGGTGTGCCTTCCACCTCACGAGCAGATAGCTGTGTGTGTCATCACTGTCCTGTGTGACTTGGTTTCACATTTCAAATGATTTCCACACATTGCCAAGTTCCTCTGCTGTTTGAAACTGACGAAGATGTAAAATGGAGTGAAGATAATATGGCCTGTACTTGGGGGTGGGGCAGCGTCTGTGTGCCTTCATCCTTACCCAATTTATGTGTCCAGTGACAATGCCAAGGTCGGCTTTCATCTGTGACTGATAGGGGGATGGTGATCGGTCAGAAAGTTCAGGCAAATGACATTTAAACCAACAGCATCGATAAATATAAGGCAACTGTCTCTGTAAAGTCTAATTTTTCCTCTTATGTGATTTATAAATAGAAAGGGGGGCTTGAGGGCCAAGGAAGAGGAAGAAGAAAATAAGCAGACTGTGAAAGAATCAGCTGCCTGCCTCCCTCCCTCCTGACGCCCTCCCATCTCGCCTTCCTCCCCCCTGCTATTTGGCTTTTATCCCCACTGCACCCCAGGGCTCAGACTGATGTAATTCTAGAAGAGATGTGAAGGTGATACATGATTCACCTCTTCTTACATCTCAGTCCTCTAGGGATGATATCACTAAAGTAAGAAGAGATGTTTTGAATGAAAAAAAAAAAAAAAACACCCAAAATGCATTTGCTCCTGGCACTCAGAGGGACAGAGTGGAGTGACAAAAGCAGAGCTAAGGAGTCAGATGAAATACATGTTCTAGAGAGCACCTGAGTTCGGGTTTACTCATCAAATTTAACTTTTCCTTCTTGCAAGGTGAGGCTCGTGTTTTTTCTTTACATAACCTGATGGTTCTTAAAAGGCAGTGGGACACTTTCCCCATTCTTTCCTAGCTAAAGTAATCCTACGTGTCCAACAATGCAGCATTGACTGCAGAGTGACTTCCGGTGACAGGAGAGACTTGCAGGGGTGACAGCGTGAGGCCACAGAGAGATATTCAGCAGCGTCTCTCGGCACAAACATCCCGTGTTCGTTTCTACAATCTGTTGTGTGTGTTGAGGGGGGAGGAGGGAGGCGTAGGACTGTATAAAACAAACAGTAGTGTTATGTACCCTCTCAACAATTCTCATTTCAGAGGATGCCCCCTCCACATGCACATGCTCCTCCCTAAAGAAAACCTCCCACTCACTGCCCCACAGTCAGCAGAGCAGTAGATGTTAAACAAATTAGAAAGGCTCTGTTATATTGAGAAAACACAATTCCCTCCCAGGGGACACAGCTGTTTTTGAGGGTTCTGTTTGTGAAAGGAGAGAGGACTGGCTGGTAGAATCTACTGCTGGCACCCGATTGGAGAATTGAAAATCTCATTGGAGTCACCAAGGATCATGAGAAACATAAAAATTCTATTAAGAGTAAGTTGCCCTCTTTTCTAACAGTATTTGGTAATTTAATAAGCAGAGCTCTTTCCTCCGTGTGGTATGCATCAGTAGCCCTAGCACCTGCTGGCAAGTGATGCATGACAGAGCTAGAAATGTGCATGGACTGCTGGGGCTAGGAGCCACGTCTGACACATGGCAATCTACTCAGGGCTTGGGCAGGCAGGAGGCCGCTGGGACCAGCGTGCTCTGTACTCTCTGCACCAGGCATTTTACTCTTGGCCACATCTGGATCTGGCTTTACCAATAGCTGGGGCCTCTTTTGATCCTGCTGGCTCATCCCTTCTTCTAATTCCCAGTGTCCCTGGAACCAACTCCCCACTGCCAGCTTGGACATAACCTAACTCAAACAGCTTTGACTAGCCACCCTTTTGGTGGCCCTGGAGCTTGGCACTCGTTCCTTCTGCTCTCTGGGTGTTCAGTGGCAGCAGTAAGGTCCTTGTTTCTAACCCCAGGGAGAGTGTCCTTTCTGACAGCCTCCTTTTCTGCCCTCCTCTTCATCTCTCTCCCCGATCCTGCCTCCTCCTGTTAACGTTATCATTCCCTCTGGCTTCTCCTACTGCCCAGTTCCCTGCCCAGTCCTGCTTCATTTCTCCTCCCTTCCAAAAACCTAGCTCAAAACTTAAGGTACCTAAAGAAAAGAAAGTCCAAACTTTAAGAGAAAAACAAACCAAGCCATCATCAACATCAGCCAGCACCAATCCTGCAATTCCAGAGCATGCTCTGGCCCTGCCCCCCACTTACAGATGAATAAACTGAGGCACAGAGGGGTGCTGTGTCCTGCCCAAGGTCACACAGGGGTCCAAACTCCTAAACCAATCTCTTCATATGCCTCTGGTTTTTGTGGCTTATAACCATTTTTTAGTCTTTGGGTGGTAGGAACTGGCAGTTGATTTTTTTTTCTTTGTTCCCTCCTTTTTTTGTATTCCCACATGGTGGGTGTTTGATGACAAATATTTGTGATGCTGTTCATTAACACCACATTCTCTTTCCTCAAGTGTGTATGAGTATGTACCAATGCATGATGCTGGAGGTGGAGAAGTCAAGAGTCTCTCTTTCTGCTGAGAATGCTGCTGATGGGTGGGGTGGCAGCTCCCAGAAGAACTTGTTCTCCTCTTGCTTCCCCCCTTGAGAGATGGTCTGGCAAGACCCCACCCTAGTCGAGCAGGTCTGGTTTGAGTGTGTGAGAGATCTTTCCATTCCATCATGGTTGTTAATCATCTGTATCCTTCCTAGTTGGCTGAATTTTTCAAGGACAGGCATGTGTCTTAGGCATTTCTGATTCACCACACTTAGCACAGGGCCTGGCACTTAGTAGGTCCTCAGGAAATGCTGAGGAAGGGGTAAAGGAGTGACTCCACTGCAGGCTAAGGGAGCAGGTCTGACAAAGTTCAAGATCATTGCCAAGATGGAAGAACCAAGGTATTAGGGATATAAGGAGGGAAGTTGGGATTCATTCAACTCCTCAACTCTGCATGAGGGAGACTCAGTTCCTAATATTTTCCTTGGAACTTCATTGACTTTCTAGGGATGGGTAGTTCTGGTTTGGAGAAATATGGTTTATTTGGAATTGGCTTTATTGAATTGGAGTCTCATCCCTGCTCATCCCAGCCCCAAGGTTACTACCCAAATCCCTCCGATTTGTGCCAAATTGAGACCCAAATGATGGGGTGTGGCAGAAAGCCTGCAAGGGAGAGGCTTGGATACAGTCCCAGAAAGGGAACCAGTGTGGGAACCAGTGTGGCCACATCCCCTCTCTGGCCTCAGGATCCTCACAGGCAAAATGGGTGGGCTGGACTTTTAGCATTAATGTTCTAAACTGAAGAAGCAAAGGTTAAGCTTGTGTGTTCCTGTCTTATGCCATCCCTTAGTGGGACAAGGCAGAAGAAACCTGTGACCATGGACTACAAACTGTTCAGGGCTCTGAAGACCTATTCAACCTGAACCATCACCAAGGTCTGGTTTGGAAATAAAATTTCCTTGAACGAGCCAGAGCAGGAATCACCTGTGAGGTATCCCTTTCACGACTTCAAAACTTAGAGGCCATGGTGGGTCCTGACATGGGGATTGTCACTGAATCTAAGGGCCAAGTTAGGGTCCAGAGAAGTGAAATGACTTGCCTAAGATCACTCAGCAA